GCTACGTATTGCCTATGAATGGATGCCGCGTTTGAAAACTTTTTACATCTTTTAATGAAATGATTCAAATGTTTGAAAGTTTTTACAAGTTTCACGTCACTTTAATAATGATATACCGGGTGTGTCAGTCAAAAATGGCTCACCCTATAGTTTTTTTATTTCAGATAAAAACGAGATTTGTATGTTAATATATGACAAAAATAAATAAAAATTAGGATTGATTGACGTATTCAATTGTTTTTGAAAATGACACTCTGAATAGAATGACATGTCATATGTCAACAATCCTAACTTATGTCATATAACATACCAAATCTTTTTTTTTTTTAAATTTAATCCTAATTTATGTTAAGTTGGGGTGAGCTACTTTCGAGACGCACCCGGTATAAGGTAATACGGACATGAATTTATCAGGACGCCACCGCAAATACACTGACTCCTGTTTATACAGGGACAAATGGTTTAATTTATAATGTTAAATGCTAATTTAAAATTTTTGTCTATCCTTCAGCTTTATATTTCAAAATATATCAGGATCAGTATCATATGACTATTTTTGAAAATCTCTAATTTAGAAAAAAAAATCCTGGCAGGTAATAAGTAGATTAAAAAATTTAACCATTAATTGTGTAACAGGAAAATTAAATCCCAATTTAAAGACAATTTAAGTTAGTAAGTATATTATTTAGAAATGATGTTTAAAAGCATGTGTTCCTCTACTGCATCCTTTATTAGCAAATTAGTTTAATCCAGACATAATATCGTAAATTATTAGTATTTTCTAATCTAAAAAACGGTAACTATTTTTAGTTGATCATTTCCTTTACCCTCTATCTTCTCCTCTTAACAATACACAACACCCCGCCTCTCTCATACTGTAATCAAGTACCTCAGTACAAATGTTGGGGATTTTAAAGCTTCTGCCTCGGCACCGTGCACGCCACTGACGGAGACAACTGTGTGAAACGTACAAGCATGTTGTGCCTGCTTGCAGCCAAGGCGTCGAGACCCGGCCTCACGCCAGTCGCCGTAGTGAGAGCTTCAGTACCGCCACCTAGACCTACGATCATCGGCCGACCAGACTTCTACGTCCGCTATGGAGAAAAGGAGATGGAGGCAGTGGCGTCGTTCGATTTCTTGAACGAATTCAGCTCGGCCAGCAGTTCGCTCAGCTGCTCTATCGAAGGAAGCTTAGAGGAAGTGGAAGAGATCGCCGAAGTGGACACTGTCCAGGCAGTATCTGCCTCGTCTTCAAGAGCTGTGAGAAAATTTAGCCAGGTCTAACAAATCAAAACCTTATAATTATATCTACACAACTTATCTGCTACTGTCAAACTGAATAAATTGTTTTAAGATATGATAATTGATGTTTAGTTCGATTAGTACTTTATATCCGATTCAGAGCACAAGGAAGGTCTTTTATGGGCGTTAATCAAACCGTCGATATAGTATATTTACATCTACAGTTATACAATCTGAGATAGAAAAATTCTGCTATTTTTTTATAAAATTCTATTATTCAGAAGGAAGAGAAACAACTCCGTTATTACCAAATTTTGTTTCTTATAATTGTTGGTTTAGCCCTACTTTCACGAATTTTTCCACTGAAATTTTAAATCTGTCAATTTGATAAGTGGAAATCAGGAATATGCCTTATACAAAAATGTGTTAATAGCAAGATCTTCACAGAACTTATTTTCGGGTGTGGTGTATTGAAAACTATGGTCTTCGGATTTGTGATATTACTGAATTGCAAGATTTCTTCAAGTTCGGTGGTCGTCTAATCTTTTTGTATTACCAAAATTTGATTAATAATGAAGGTGGTTCCAATCCTAGATAATTGATCTCTTTTTATTTCACTATTTTCATGAGTTAAAATTAGTTTATTTAATTGCTGGGCATATTATATATGCCTCCTCTCATCCTCTCCGTTTATCAATTTATGTGTATTTATGTTTTTTTTATATACATATACATACCTCTATTTCTTCTCCAGTTTTTAATTTTCAACCAATTGGGCATTCATTTTTAACATTATTAACTTCAATTAAATAAGTAAAAGTAAAGTTTCAATAAAAAATCAAAACGTTGTATAGGGAGGTGCATCTTAACAGGAAACATACACTGCAGGATAATAATAATCAAGCAGGAGAAAATTCGAGAGAATTAATTCATTGCATTAAATGATTATTTACTATAAAATAACTCTTTAGTAGAGGTCTGTGCTATTAGAGCAAATATATATTTCAGTGACCTGTAAAATACATTTGCCACAAGTTCTAGACTCTTTCAAATTAAACAGTGGGTACACTCCCTGATTATTTTTACTCACAGTGATATCATATGTGTCAAATACTAAGCGATATTAAAATGTCTAATATATTTTGTATCTACTTTATTCAAAGAATCAAATATTCACAAACCTGTCATAAACGTTAGAAAAATGGATTATAAGTTATTAACCTATATTTATCATTTGGCCCCCTGTATACGTTTTTTTGGAATTTTGTAAAATCACTGAAATAATAAAAAAAATTATAATTATATTAATTTTATGTACGGGCGCTAATCCATACAACTTTTACAACGTAGATGGTAAGTTTATAAGTATATTCAAGGAGCACTCAAGAGATGCTACTAAAAAGCCTGCAAATATATATAAAACTAATCTGTTTACACGAAAACACTGTTCAATCCGTTAATTAACAAGAGTCATAGGTTCTGTAATATTGGAAATACGACATAACGGCAGTCAATAAGATTATAGATTGTGTAGTCAGTTCATGTACCCAATAGTGATATGAATGTGAAGATAGTATACTGTTTCCGCATACAACCGATAAAATGAAGTCAACTCAAATGTCAAAGAATACATAGTATTCATAACATGGCGTTGCGTTTTTATTACACCTGTACAATGATATGACCTACGAAGATAAAAAATTTTTCAGACGGAAACCGCCTAAATTTAACCCCCAATTAGGTACTTAGCGATTCCCACCAAGTATGTTAATTAATAATTAACCATTTTCCATCGTTAAGCAATCACTTACTGAGAAAGTTTGTTTTACAATTTACAATGTAATGATGTCCATAACTAAACTGTGTGTAGAGTGATGTATTTTTATATAGGGTACTTATATATTTAGTACAAATCTAGTTCGTAAATAAAATATTATCTTTACTATGCATTTTTATTTGTACAACCATTATTTTTTATTTTCGAAACTTATATTCTTTAGAAGTAACAACTTGATTGTCGATATGGTTTAAAAATTTATTCCGAATATATTAGTAATTAATTTTACAATAGAGGTGTATAATAATTTACCACAATACCGAGGGAACATTTTTTAGGCAATTGGAAAAGTAAAACTTTGAAGTTTTTTATAAACAATTTATTATTTACAAGAATTATAACATTATCGTACTACCATCGTTTCTCCAAGCTTACTGAGACCTTTATTCTTCATTTGATTTTTTATTAAAATTAAACAAGCAATGTAACAAAAAAAAAATACTTTTATAAATAAATCACAATGTTTTCTTAATAATTAATAACAATGTATATTCAATCAATTACTAAGTTCACAATAAAATATAATAATAAAATAAAATTGAATTATAGTCACTTCCACATTTTTGTATGTAATCATAAAACAATAATGTGCCTTTTAAAGTTAGATTTAACAATGTAAAAAGTCTCTAAATATTTATCTAGAATTACAAAGACAAATCAAGCTATAAGCATTTTTTTGCAAACACGTCTGTCTAAAGGAACAATGACAAAAATGTTTTGCTACAGATTTCTGTTACCAAATAAAAACGCAAAAATAAAAATAAAAAATTAAGCAATTGTTTTGAAATTTGGTCTCATGAAAAACCCAATGGCAATAAAACTATCGTTACTATCAGCAATGTCTCATTCTTCTATTCGTTTTCGACTAGTTGTGTATCTTGAGGTAGGCATCGACGAAAAGATCGAGTTCATGTGACAAGTAGTTTGCCTTATTTCTCAAAACCTTAAAAAAATAATTCTATTAAATTGTACTTTACAATAATGCACGTACGGGTCTTAAGTACGTCGGATTTTAAAATGTTCTATACAGAATTGATAAGAGGGACACTTATAACAGGGAGGGACATTTTCTGACGAAAAAAGCGCGAATTGTCCATAAATAACCCCAAAATCAAACTCACAAAAAAAGGTTGAAAACAAAGCAATCAAAACTCAAATTACAGTTACAGCGGACGCTTCTAGCTTTATGATCCTCTTCTCAACCTTTAACACGGATCAAAATATAATGTTTATTCTTATCAGCTTAATATCGCTACTCCTATTTTTCAAAATTAATAAGGAAAGTATAAATAAAACAAAATCCCGATTTTCAAAATTTCATTGTTACTGCCAGCGATATGTGCAGACACGAGCAAAAGACAAATAAGCTAGAATCTGTCTTCTTTATCACTCTTATTAAACTTAATAAAGAAAGCTACAAAAAATGTCTATACCAATGTGGCGGATTCATCTATCCAAAAAAAAATCCTATATGGGTATTTCGCCACTGCAAGAAAATCTACAAAATAAAATAGTTATTTTTTGTAAACACTGCTGCGTTAATCCAACGGAAACTAATTGTTAGCAGTTAGGTTTACTGATAAACAAATTTACCTAAAACAAAAAAATGCTTAACATTTCGGAAAGTTTATCTCTTTCCGTCGTCGGAAGCAAAAAAATACAAAGAATAAAGAAAAAAACTATTTATAATATTTAAATGCAACTATTTGAGAACACTTTAGTTTTTTCAAAACAGATACGTCTACAAAAACCGTTGACGTTCTGTTAAAATGACAATGAACATTATTATTTTCTTGCAGTGGCGAAATACCCATATAGGATTTTTTTTTAGAAAAGAAAGCTACATTCTAACCTCATAATATTTAGTCAAAAAATACGTCATTGGAAGACAATTTTTGATTTTTAGTTTGTTCTTTAAATATTTTACGGTTTAACTTTAATGTTTCATTTTAGGTTCCTAAAATTAAGAAACATCTTATAAAATGAAGTAGATATTCTGAATTTTTAGACAAAAACTTGAAAAGCTTGAAGTGAGGAAAAATGCAATTTTTCGTAAAATTTTCGTATTATGTGCTCCAATTGATTTATGATAATAGTTTTTTAAACTCTGATTTGAGTTTCCTTTTTATTTTTTTTATCTGCAATAAAACCTACCTATATCCTCTATGTTTTTAACATACGCAATTACACGTGTCGTTATATTTAGTACATTATAAAAAGTATACAGATCATTCTGTGAATAGACTGACAACGAAACCCATCAGCAAGCAACGGGGATGTCAGTGTTAGTCGGGAAGTATTATGAACTAAAGACCTAGTTCAAGGAACAATTCCTCTTAAGGAACTAGAATTCCCACCTCTAGTGTAAATAATGCCAAATGATCCCGCGAGATTTAGACGTGTAAAATCCCGCGCTTCAACGTCAACGCATTCACGTAGTAAAATAATTTTACTCAATGTTTACAACCAAACCAAACAAATTTTATACTGACCTTTGCCCGACCGCTAGCATTATCTAACGTAGCTACCTCCTTTTCTAAAACTTTCAATTGATCGTCCATATCGTGAGTGGCCTTGTCAACCAAGCTGCACAACCTGGCAAAAGTACCGCTCAACTCTTGTTGCACTTGATGACTGCAGTTGGACGATGTTAAGTCGACGATCATGCGTAATTTACGGGTGGCGTGATCGACGTACTGACGTTTGAAAGATCGCTCTTTAGCTTTATTGGTCCACGTAAGACGCTCGTACAAATAGAGAGAACCGTATAGAGCACCTATAATATATACACAGTATTATAGTTCGATTAGATATGGATATACTAAATATTTGAATTAGTGAATTTGTAAGCACTCATTTTTCAATCACTGTAAACATATTGAATTTATAGAAAGTTTGTCACTGATGTTGATGTAAGTCATTTGTGAATTGTGCTGTGTGATAAAATTACACTTTTTTTTGCTTACAAATAGCATCAAGGTTAGGTTCAACATATGAAATTATGGTATATATTACACACTACACACACAGACTCTTAATAATAATAGTGATGGCGATGGCGGTTCGTTTTGTTTAGTCCTGATTTATATAGGGTGGTCCGAACGGTATTCCGGAAACTTCGGCAGCATCTTCTGCAGATAAAAATAAGTAAAAAAACTCATACCGTGCTGGCAAATGTTACTTTTGGGTCGGCATTTACATGTGTGGAAGTAAATCGCATAGGGATCTTATTAAGTCGGAGTGAGAGAAATGCGACCGACCGACGCGACGCGTGACGGTGTGCTGTTGCGGCGTTGCCGATACGCCTTTCCCTATCAAGTAAAGTAAAATCACGATCGCGAACTGCTTATTTTTAAAAGACTTTTTTTTTTCAAGAGATAACTAGATAAAATCATTAGGTTTGTAATGTTTCTGAGTATCTGAAATGGAATTATAAGGATATCGTTAGGGTGTCATTTTTTATATAACGAGAAAACGTCAGTAATCGCGATAATTTAAAAACTCAACTTTTTAACACATAAAAGGCCATAACTCAAGAACCACTTTAGATATTGAAACTTTTTTTATTTTCAAGATCGGATATTTTACAATATTGTCAAGAAAAATGGCGTATCCGCCAGAAATTAAAAATGTATTACTGGTTGCCTCCACAACCGCAACGTATCCGCCAGAAATTAAAAGACTTTTTCAGGCGCCATCTTTTAGTCAAGTCGAGAAGTAAGGGAATCAGACAATGGAATTGTCTGGTATGAAGAAGTACGCTTTCCGAGAATTGGGGAAATTTCGAGAAGCAGTCAATAGAGTATATAAGCCGGAGCCATCGACAACACTACAATCTATTATTTCTAATAGATTTCGAGATATCGATTTTTGAATTCAGAGTTATAATAGCGCGACCACTATCGAACACCCACTCAATTCCACTTATTTTTACCAAAAATGCAAGTGTTTCTAGCTTGCACTTAAAAAAAATCAAGCTGTAGGGAAAATTACGACTCGTTAATAAATAAACAAATCAAGTATCACGAGACGTAATTAAATCGTGAAGCTGAACGCATGACGTACACCTTTCCCTAGAAGTTTAAACGCATTGTACTCTTCTTACATACGGAAATCTCGACCCAAGACTAACCTTTGCCAGCCCTTAGTATAAATGTATGTCCTAAAATTTTTAGTTTTGGAAATACAGAGTGTAGAAATTTCATTTTTAATTTCAATTTTTTCAAATAATTTATGAACCAACGTCAATATTTGGATGAACTCTTTTTACCAAGAAGACTTTTACCAAGAGAAATTTTTTACGTAAAAAGCCGCGGAAATGTATATTTTTTCACTCACTAGTTTTATACAGGTATGGACGAAAAGTTATTACTCTTCAAAACAGTTAAAACACATATATTTGGCGCCCCCTACAAATAGGAGTCATATTGACATCAAAATCAAATCGCTTGTCAAAAAACTCACAGACGCCAATTTTCATCCAAATATTGACGGTAATTCAGAAATTATTTGGAAAAAATCCAAATAAAAATGAAACTTCTACACGTGTATCTCCGAAACTAAGCATTTTCGGACATACATTTAGACAAACTTTTTTACTTATTTTTATCTGGAGAATATGCTGCAGAAGTTTCCGGAATACAGTTCGGACCACCCTGTATATTCTTTTTTATATATGTTGGAGGCAGATGCCGAATTCGGCTTATGTCCGAAATAATTAGACATACGGCGATATTATAATTAAATATACCTACCTATATCCACAAAGTTACGCGGAAGAGTTTTGATTGCATTGGTTTCAACTTCTAGGCGGAGGGTGTTAATCTTTTGTTGATATATTATACCAAAAAAAGATTAACCCCCTCCGCAAAGAAGTTATATAAAGACTATTTATAAGCACGAAGTTGCACGCATCTGGCAAGTTTAGTATGGACAAATCGCCATATGTCTAATTATTTCGGACATAGGCCGAATTCGGCATCTGCCTCCAACATATATAATAAAAATGTATTATATTCTGTATTTTCTATAGAGAGTTATATGTATAGTCATAGTATTTCTAGCAGTGTTATATAGTAAAGGTGTCAAAACTCTTTTAGTAGAAAATTATATTTTTTTTGTATATGAATATTTTTTTCAACATTAATACAGATGCTAAGTAAATTTGTACAAACTGTAAAAAATAGACACAAAAATTTTTTAAAAAAATTTCCTATATAAATTTTTCAAAGATACGATGTCAACACAGGACATCCAAAGAATGACACAAAATCACTGTCTATTATATTGTACTGTTACAAATATAGTGCTCACCTGTAACTACAATAACTCTCCATCCTATTGTCTTAAACATGAATCCAGCTACCAGCAAACAGCCCATGGTACCTTGAGAACCGGCTCCCATTAACGCTATTCTTGACAACAAAGACCAGTCATCGAAACTAGTATTGCAAACCAATCGATTATCAACCACATCAACGGGCGTTGAGGGCATAATACTGCTCTGAGGACTCTCTCTTTTATTTTTAATACCCAAAAAACTGCCTTTGCTACCAGCAAAGCGTTGTATAAGTGCTGTGATTCCATAAGAAAATCTAAAAAAAATATTAGTCAATGATTTATTGAATCATATACAAACTTTACCTGAATTCAAGATCCTCATGAAAATCAGCACATAAATTATCACAATTTAGTCTGTAAAGAATTTCAAATGGCTGTCGTCCTGGCATAATAAAATTGCTGGCGCTTCTGTAGTTTTGTGGGATAAGAGATTCCATCCGGCTTGTCATCTCTGTCTGGCTTTGTTCCATATTCATTGCCAATGCAGTTGATAATCTTATAAAATTTAAAAATGGTGATTGATTTATTTGTATAATCTGCATACGCGTAAAAAGTTAAATGATGTCTTGCAGTAAAATATCTCTTAATAAAATTATAAAAGGGATTTATATCAAAATGCTTACCTGGCTCTTAAATTTGATCCTAATCCTGTTTCAACGTGCAAATGAAGTTCTTTCTTATACACATTTAAAACCAAAGGTTCAGGATGAAAAGGTAAGTTGAACTCATCGACAAGTGTGCTTAACCGTCTAATTTCTTCAGTTAAAGCTTTTGATACCCTTTGTTCAACATCTTCAACCATATTTCTAATTTTCTTTTTCATTTCCTGAGAATTATAAATATTAGAAAATATTACCGCATTATACCGAAAAATAATTAAAGTCACATAGAATGCTTTGTTGTTGATGTTGATGTAAGTCATTTGTCAATTGCGCTGTATGATGACAGAGCAGGCTTAGAAATAACATCACCGTCAGCTTCAACATGCGAAAGCATAGTATTACACACTCTCGACTATAATATTGATGGTGGTTCATAATTGTTTCAGTCCAGATTTCAATCCTTTACCGTTGATTGAAAAAATTGGGAAGATATGCAACCTAATGGGCAAATTCTTGACAAGGCTGATTTGATTCCGCTTATGTCTCAAGTGCTGCACATTGGAGACACCAATATTTCTGCGGTCAACGCATAAAACACTTATTTTCTGTCATTCGGCCGGCGAAGGCATAACGAAGACGGTGTGGATCTGAAGGCGACAGTGTTGCCATATCTGTAATACTTTTGACGAAAATATCTTTGGATGAAAAATTCGCGTTTATGTATTGAAAATTTATTCTTGTTAAACATAGAATAAACAATAAAAATAAAAATCTTGTATAGGTGCTGAATATGTCGTATGATCAAAAAAAGTCGTTTAGTTGGCTTGGAAATGACGATTATTGACATTTACCATAATATTTTACAAAATAACAGCGATCTTCATTTGCAAGCCAACTCTGACGCTGTTCTTTGTTTAATCATATAATATTATATTAAATTGTTTAATGATAGAAAATCCGTATTATTAAGGTACTGTGCTGTATTAGCCTGCAGCGGCGCAGAGCTAAACTAAATCTCGGAATTTTCGGACAGGCTAACGGTAACGCCAGCTACATCTCGGACAGGTTCTGTGCCACGAAATCGCCCTTAAGGTTGCGCATGTTCTAATTTCTTCAATCAACGATATTACTTACATTACATTAGTTAATATGCGAACTTAATACAGTAGTCTTTAATAGAGTAACTTAGAAAACCCTATGATCTAGGTAGAAAACTGAGTTTAATAAATAATACTCAAACGTGCTGCTCAACTGCACGTTAGAGCCATGCAAAAATTAAAAATTATGATGAAATTAAAATAACAAAATAATTGTCATTAACATTATTAAAATTTACTAATTTTATTCTTCTTTACCTGTGTTATAATAACCAATTGTTGTTCAGTATAGTTTATTTTATCAGTTAGTTCTTTACGTTGTTTTAATTTTTCTTCTCTTAATCTCAATGCTTCGTTATAAATACTTTCCAAAATATCTCGTAATTCACTATAAAATCAAATACAAAATAACACAGTACTGTAACTACTTATTGGTCCTTACTTTGCAATAAATTTGCCCCTTTGAGAATGCTGTTCAAATTTGGTTTTCACTGCAGATTTAGAAATGCACTCTTCAAATTTCCTTTCAAAATCCTAAAAATATGAAAACAGATATAAACTTTTTAGCCCAATCTATAATATTATTATACCTGAAATTCAAAGTATCTTGTCTGAAATCCCTCAGTTAATGGAGTAGAAGCAGTTTGTCCTTGCTCAGCCATTCTAGCTTGTAGGACTTCCTTTGCAGATATAAAGAATATCCTTTCTTCAGCCTCTTTTGAAGAACATACTCCCAACTCTTTAACTAGAAAATCTACAGCTCTTTCTTGATGTTGGCGTCGAACCTAATAAAAATAATAATCCTTAAAATATTCTTAATAAAACAATTTTTATTAATAAACAAAATAAAAAAACATAATATTCAGTTTAAAAAATTATGAACTCACCTCTTCCTGTTCATTGCAATGCTTATGCAGAAAATCAAAAATTAATCATTCTTTTCTGAATATTTTCTTAAGGTGCATATACATTTGCAAGCAAAATATGAGTGTAACAGGCAATATGGTTAACATATCTATCCAACAAACTTCAAGCAAACTATTTTTTACAAAGATGACACACATTTTAAAGAAAAGTCCTAAAGTGACAAAATGATGTGTCCTTATAGATAACATAGTCACTAAGCATTACTAATAAAATATTGGAACAATTTAACAGAAAAATTCTATACATCAGCATGATCAACTGTGACCAATGGCGACACCTAAACGTTTTTTTTTGTTTCTCTATTTGTTAAATAGAGACATAGAATCTCACAAAAAAAATAAATTCTAAATCTGTACTGTATAATTGTAATAATCAAGTTCTCAAAGCATATGATTTACATTTTACATTCAAATCATATTAAGAAATATCTCATTGGAAGACATCAATGGTATTGAGAATCCTTAAATATTTTCAAGAACACTAAACCATCCAAAGATATCTGAATAATAAACATGATGATGAGAAAAAAATATACAGCTTTCCATTAAGAACAACTTTTCTATAAAAATATTTATAATTGAATATAATAATAAATTTAAATATCTGAAACATCCTATATAGATCTATAAAAATAATTTCATAAGGTGGCTGTAGCATTGCCATTGTACATATTTTTTAAAATTATTGGAATGAAAATCTCAAACAGGAAACCTGTTATACCTATGTCAATTAAATTTATTTATATCAGTTAATGACATTCATCAAAAGACAGATAACTTCCATTACATAATTCACATTAGCAAATGGCTTGGCTTGCATATGTATAGCACCTTTAATGTATTAAAAAGCTGAAAAAGCAAACTAATGTGCCCTCTTAATTAAAATTAAGGAAAGCAATGCAATGCAACAAAAATTGGTGGTAGCTAATGGCTTTTTCATAAAATGTAAATTATGATGTAAATTAGTAGAGAACAAAATCTAAACTCACCTGGTCCAAAAACTCAGGTTCGGTTGCAGATGCATCCCATCTATTATTAAGTATAAATATATTTGGCTTTGACAATTTTTTTGATACTTTGTGAAAGAAATTTTTCTCCTTAAATAAAAAACAATATTAATTTATAAAAGAAGTTATTTTTAGACTACTAAAGACATACAGTAACCATTAAAGTTGACTCTGCATTAGCTACTAAAACAAAAACATCAGCATCTAAACAATGTTTATCTATCCATTCGTCCAAATTAGGTGTAACATCAACACCAGGAGAATCAACAAATACTACATCATCTCGAAGCAAAAGGCACCTTAAAAACAAATATTTAATTTGTATCACTATCACTGATACAATTCATAGCATCAAAAACTAAATTTATACCTGTTTTTAGGCCAAAACACTCGCACCATTTCTGATTCTGACAGTTTTTCTTTACACAATGCATGTGCAAGTTGTCCAACAGATTCAACAGCACAACGTTCATTTGAACCCTCTTTTGTAAGATAGGGATCTTCAGAAGTAGATCCCTCAACCTAGAAAAAATTAATTATTTTGGTTTTCACAAAATAAGAAAAACAAGAGACAATACCTGCAAAAAACAATTTGTTGTATGGCCAATTCCACTGGGTAATATTTTATCCCTTAACATAGCATTAATTACAGAACTTTTTCCATTAGAAGTTCTTCCAAAAAATGCTACTTTCATATGATCTCTAGAAAGAACTTCTCTAATACTATGAACTTTATCAACAAATTCTTCAATCTGCTTGACTTTTTCTGCAGAGACAATATGATCTTCTTTTTCAATCTCTGAAATACATATAATGAAACAGACTATCATACCAATTAACAATATTCTTACCATGCATATATTCGACAGTATCATTAACATAATCCTCAATTTCCCCAAATATATCATTAATTTTCTTTTTTGCTTTTACAAATATCTGCAATGGAGAATTATCAATACCATTGGTTCGCAATACAGCAGTTACATTCGGTCGGTTATGAGGCCCATCTCCAGCCATCATAGATATAGTGCGATTTATATAAGCAGCCATATCAACTCATGCAAGTGCGATGTGTTCTACTTCAATACAGTTGGATGTAGCAGACAAACAAAATCCGGCATGCACCATCAACAGCAAACTGAAAAAAATATACATATAAATCAATTACATAAGCTTAATTTTTAACTATGCCAAATTTAGAAACATTAAATCAAAGTGTACAAAATTATTGAAAAAAAAATAAAACCAGTATCTTTCATTCTATGAAAATAATAGAAATAGAAAAACCAAAACTACTGTTCAAGAATTTTAAATGCTGGTACCAGTAACTATATAAAAATAAAGTACCTAGGTAATAAAATATTCAAATAAATTAAATATTCTCCAAAATTGGAATTAAAAATAAATAAAAACTTCAAAGACCATGAGTATAGTACATTTTATAGCTCTTGGAATTGAAACTTAAACATCAGCTGATTTGTCAGTAATATTTACTGATAGAAATATCAAAACTAAAGTTTTGCAAAGCAAAATATGTAATAACAACACAAAAAAAACAAATTTTACACCGCATTTAAAGGCTATTATCTGAAATTAATATACTTTATAACCTGATTTGGCATATCCCTTGAACCCAACTCGAAGCCTTAAAATTTCCAAACACACAATAGGTACCTAAAAGTGTGAGGAATATTCTTAAATTTTCATTAAAAAGCAATTTAAACTAAATGTTTATAAAAGACTTACGTAAGTTTAAGTTCTTGTATTTAAATACGCCTTTTTCCAAATTTGATTAAAGATTTTACTAAAAATAAACCTTGCCAGTTACTGACATTTATGACGATATCACTCACTACTTTCTAGGTACGTTGTTTCATTTGTTGCAGTAATTGTTGAAAAATAGGTATCGTATTTACTGTTTATTCCGGAAACATATTTAGAAATTTAATGTTAAAAGATCCAAAATTTTTCTAAAAAATAAGAAGTATGACCAATAGGCAGCAACTTTTTTAACTTTTCTCTTTTTATTTGTTAAACAGTGTAGGCAACATTTTTTTAGGGAATTTGGTATATATCTAATTTCTAACTTTATTTCTAGTTAATTTGTTTGTCTATGGGTGTATCCATAGATTATATGTTAAGATTTATCACGAAACGGTAATGTAAAAAACGTTTCTTATTGTGGTGCGTATATTCCTTTGGTGGTAATACTACCCCCCTTTAGTATATTCTGGTATATTCTTACCTTTACAAAGATTCTTGCGAATCGAAAAAAAAAGAACTGGCCCAAACCAAAAAGCTCTGTACTATCCATAGAACAAAAATGTGGAAATGGGAAATGGGTGTTGATAGAGATGTATTTTTTTCTTCTGTGGGTAGTTGAACTTTGACAACTTTCATCTGTTTTAAATTTTTTTTACAGAATTGTATAAATTAATAGATTGTAGGGTCGATTCGCCAGCAGTCGGCCTTTTTTTGGGATCTTTAACTTTGAATATAAATAACAAAACACTACAAGAAGATCGCTCATTCGTTCTTTTATTAACGTTTTGTGCATGAACTTATTTTTACGTGAGAGAAATAAAAAAACCCTAAATCTGAACGTATTTTCACTATTTTTTACTATTTTATGTAAGCAGACAAAGTAAAACAACATTACCAATACTTTCATTAATCTGATGTTGATGTCTGTAGATTAATTATTCTCTTTTAGAATGACTAACAATGAAACACCAATACAAATGTTTGAGATACCTAACGAATGGTCTTATAGAGGAGAAGGAAACTGTAATATAGTATTAGCTATACCTAAACAAAAGAAAATATTAAGAATTCGAAAAATTGAGAAGCCCAAGTCAATTTTAGGATGGTTGCTAGTTTTAATTAATGACTTTTTGCATTGGTATTATGGAAAGGGGTATAAGGATGAATCTAGAGATATCAATTTTTATTTAAATATACTCAGACCACTTATTGGAAATGAATATACTTCTGAAGCTAAACAAGTTTTTTTGTCTAGAAAACATGTACATATATTTAAAGAGGAGCTTACCAAGATCAGACCTGGTATATATATATTTAGGCGTATCATAGGAATTCCTTCAACAATTTATTTCAGAATTTCGTCAGAATAAAACTTTACAATATGGAAGAGCTGCACTTTTTCATGACTTTGCATATCTACCTAGTTTAGATGATAACTTACAATTTTCTCAAAACACTTTTTCAGTAGAAATCAAACCCAAACAAGGTTGGAGACCTATGAAAGAACACTTTTTGCCACAATGCCTTTATTGTATGAATCAGTTTTTAAAGGTGGATACATTTTTAATTACTAACTAACATGTAATTCACTAAAAAATTATTAATATAATTTTCAGATACAGAATAAACAAATAAAGACACTTACAAAATATTGTCCTGAAGAATTATTTTCTGGGTAAGAATAGATTAAATATTTTATTTTACACATTGAAAGAAAGAATGCATTTCAGAGATAGAGATAGAATGAAAACAGCTTTAAACAACTTATTTCAAATTCCTCAAAACAATTTTAAGATATTTAAAAATGGGTCAATATACTATGATGAAAGACATAAAGACACTACAATTTTAAAGGAAATATTTGAAAGTACTGATTCCGATGACACGTAAGTTTTACAACCTTTTTGATAGAGTTTTTCAGTCACATACACAGAATTGATAGAATACCATAACATTATCTCTATTTTTTCCAACTGTACCTACCAAGCAAGGTTCTAGGACAATCCAGAATAGATAATAACAAAAACTGAAGAAAGCTAAAATATTTTAACTTTTAAGTGTCACCATGATAAAATAATATTCAAAGATCTTTTCAAAATATTAATTTAATGAGTATATTAAAAAGTTGACTGGTACCTAAATATCAGTATATTTGTTCACTTTCCCTACATTGAATAAAGTTCAACAGGCCTTTGTCCACTGTATATAGTAACTAAAATATGAAATAATTTTAGTTTGGCAGAAGAATTATCTGATTTTCTCCAGAGATGTTTAACTACAAATTTTAGTATCTCTTCAACTAAAAAAGATACATACTGTGTAATACATGATAATGCATCACATGATCAAAAATTACAAGTGGGTTCAGTCCTAGAAAGAATTTTATCAGTTCAAATGTTGGATACCGAAGGAAGTCATAGTACTTACAAGAAATGGTCAAAAAATGACATGTGGGAAAATTGGACTTACGTAGATAAGATTTTGGAAATTGTCAAAAATAACAAAAATGGCTGTGTTAAATGTAGCATAATTAATGCCTCAAAAAGTTATGAAGACGAGTTAATGTTTGTTCCTTATCTAGTATCAGCCATTGCTAAGGACTGTTCTCTTATGATTACTTTCAGAAGAGTTTTGGAGATACCAAGGTATGTTATTTCTTATATCTTAGTTGTAGGTACTATTAGCACACTTTGAATATTAGCACAGAATTTACCTAACCATACAAAAGGGGCACGTGCAATTTTTGCATAGACTCAATTTTAAGTTTTTATTTTGTAGTTTATTTTAAGTAATTCTCTTTAAGATATAATTTTTCTTTTAGATAGAAGATATAATTCTACGTTTCTTTTTCATAATTTTTCTTTTCTATTAAAAGCAACTTTTTTTATTTTAAAATGAGGTATTATTTTATTTCTCACGATACATACGTCACAACGCAAAAAATCAAGCGAGAAACCGATAAATGCCTTCATTCAGGTCAAAAAGCTCAGTAGTTTTAGGAATTAGTTTAGTTTACACTTGATAACGGTCAGTGATCCTTCTGACCAAAACGTTGTGTTAATCACAATGGAAGTCCGTAATTCTTTTAGTTTCAATAGGTACTGAATCATTGTCTACCGCATTCAAAGAAATATTTCTATATTTGGTAAATCATTAAACACAATATGAATATATACATATATAAAGTAAAAAAAATTGTGCGTGAGCTATGTGCACATATTACTATAGCTATGTGCATATATTACTTCCGTCTGTCTGCCTATTCGTCTGCCCGTCTGTCCGTCTGAGGACTCCATTCGGGTACCTCTATCCACGTGCCGAGTTTAGTTCCAATCGACCCATAACTAATAAAAATTCTGATGATTTTGTCCATTTAGAGGTTTGGGTTCGAAAGGTCGAACGCGTCATCCTATAGCCCGTCCCCAACTATGCCGAAATCGACCCACATTTTTCTTCAATATCAAATCCTTAGTCCCACTCTGATGAAGATGTAAACGAAACGTCGTATCCGACTTCGCAAGGTGGGACCGTGTGCCGCGTTGTTCACAATAGCCTACCCTCCAAATTTGGTCACGATCGGACTACATCAACTTTTGACGTTTCTTACGTCAAAACCAGAGTACGTAGATCGCCGAGTAGCGACAGAAACCGTCGGCTCTTTTGATGTGGTGGGACCAAATTTTCTTATGATAGATAACGTATGTTAGATAATATGACAGATATCGTATGACAGATAACCTACTTATTTCGCGCAGCCGCAAAGAAAATTGAAAACGGGACTGTCGCTACTCGTCGGTTTAGGTACTCTGTCAAAACTAACTGTCACAGTGACACGTGTCGTATACGGCCAAGTTGGCCTTAGTCCAAACTGTCGACATACTAAATTTTATTTAAATCGGACGATTTTTTTATTTGATTCATTGATGGTGGGGTTTCATAGTACACGAAACGTCGTCAAAATATCATGAAAACCGAGTTACCGAGTTTCAGCCCCCTAACTCGCATAGGAGCCCGAGTTACGGCGCTCCAAAAACCCATCTCAACTTTCTCATTGGCTTACTCCTTTTTTTCTCGCTAGCTCGTCTGTCAAAGTGGTGTCCTGTCAAGGCCGTACCGTGTCACGGCCTTGAATTTTTACTTCCACTGCGCGTAAAGAAGTTTCACTTCAATAGTATTATAGAGTTTATTGAAAAATATTATAGAAATTCCTGATATACAGGATGGCTCATTAGTGTGAGGAAATCCAATATTGTCGTTGACAAAGATATGAAAAAAAGTTTTATACAGATGTTGCATGGTTTATAAAGGTGCATATCCTAAAAATATTTTGTTGTATTCATGATGTCTCAAAAAAAAGGTATGAGGAAGTTTTAAGTTTTTTTTTAATTACACCCTCTATTTTTCTGGACAATTGGATTGAGCATAAAATTCTCCATATAGTACACTATTTTTATTTGAAGCACTATGCGGTGTTGCCATTCTATTTCTTATTTACTGAAACTGTTGTGTAAAATGTTGGTTAAAGTGGTTAAAAACTGGATAAATATAACTTTATTAATACTTACCGATATTTTCCTAAACATCAAGAATAACAGAACAAATCCGTGATGGAAAACTTACATTATCTTAAACAGGGGATATTTTTTATGACGTGGTCAATGTTTCTATATTTAGAATGCTCTATCTCATTTTTTTTCAGATCTTTTTGTCAGGTTGTACTGTCCCTTCTGTATAGCTAAGTTATTATGTGCAATATTCTACCTTTATGAAAAAATACATGTTTAATTCCCTATATCGGTTTGATTTGGCTATTTCAGTTTTATATTAAATAGATAAGACATTTAATCTAATATGTATACAGGGTGGTCCGAACTGTATTCCGGAAACTTCGGCGGCATATTCTGTAGAAAAAAATAAGTAAAAAAGTTCGTATAAATGTATGTCCTAAAATGGTTAGTTTCGGAGACACAGGGTGTAGAAATTTCATTTTTATTTCGATTCTTTCCAAACAATTTCTAAAGCAATATTTGGATGAAAATTGGTGTTTGGGAGTTTTTTGACATGATAAATTTGATTTTGATGTCCATATGGCTCCAACTTGTAGAGGGCGCCACCTACATATTTTTTAACTGATTTGAAGAGTAACAACTTTTTTTTCGTACCTGTATAACTGAGTAAAAAAATATACATTTACGACGTTTTTTACGTAAAATGGTCTCTTGATCGCTACAAATCGCTACATGTAATGGTTGTCGAGATATTTAGAATTTAAAAAAAAAGTTCAACAGAAACTGTTTTATCATCATTTTTTCGAAGAAAAATTTATGAATAATTTAAAAAAAAATAAAAAGTCTCCAAATTTGTAATTTCAGTCAAATAACTATCTACTCAACACATTTATTTTTTTGAATAATGACATGTATTGACTATTTCCATTCTAAATATCTTGAGAACGGTTGCTCTTAGCGATTTTTATCAAGATACATTTTTTACGCAAAAAATCATGGAAAAGTATATTTTTTACTCAGTAGGTTTTATACAGGTACGGGCAAAATGTTATTACTCTTCAAAACAATTAAAATACATGTAGGTGGCGCCCTCTACAAGTAGGAGTCATATTAACATCAAAATCAAAATTTTCATTTCAAAAACCTCCCTGACACCAACTTTTATCCAAATATTGACGTTAGTTCAAAAATTATTTGGAAAAACTCAAAACAAAAATAAAACTTCTACACCCTATATTTCCGAAACTAAGCATTTTAGGACACATTTATACGATCTTTTTTACTTATTTTTATTTTGAATGAGGTTTCCGGAATACAGTTCGGACCACCCTGTATAATAAAAATATATGTTTCAGCAACTTGCACAACTTAAAAAACCTATTGAAAACAAATTATGGATACTTTTTAATAAATATTGGAGTTTTTGATTTATATCCCAAACCTCTGTCAACGATTCTAAAGCATTACAAAAGAAACAAAGATATAATTAAAGTTTTTAACAAACAAAAGTGATATTTATTAAAGGAAATGTTTTAAAACTATACTTAGTATATCTATTGTAAATTATACTATATGTTTTTAGGTAAAACATATGTATACAGGGTGACTTTGTATAGTTAAAAAGTTACATATCAAATTTTCTATGATATATTTTCACATTCAATTTTTATAAAATATTTAACAGAACAGAAGCACATAATTTTAAAAATTATGGGCTCAATAAAAATATTCTTACACCGAAGTTGTAGATTTTTAAGTGGCAAACTCTTTACGTTTATTATTTTTATTGGAAGATTTGGATTTTAATATTTAATTAGCCATAAACTTTCTATATCAGCAGTACTCTAATGTCATAATATATACGGAGTGGTTTTGAAAATATGACTTTTTTTGAATATGTGAAATATGTAAGGGGATACTGGATGGATATGTGAGCTTTTTAGACTACTGGATTATGTACAAGGAAACCCTGTATAATATATCTCGTAAATTGTGATAGAATGTATAAAACAGATTTATGTTAATATATTATAATTGAGAATTTGCACTAAAAAATAAAATACTACTATTAATATAATAATCTTTTATATAATATATTTTTTGTAATATTAATAAAATAATATAAGTAATTATAATGCTAAATATTGAATTCCTCTTATAAAATAAACCAATGACTATGGACTATGTGCTTTTCCTAATAATTACTTTTAATTGTTATGTATGGCTATTGTGTTTTTAAAATATATTAATTATGCTAGTCGAATATTATATATTTAGATTTGTACATTAAAAGTTTGTCTCTCATTGTAATAAATTAATTTTAACTATAATCTATTTAAATAGAATAATATGTACTTTACTTATATATCTATTTTTAGTTAGAAAAATATTGATCATGTTAAAAACATTAATGTAATTATTTTACAAGTAAAATTATTCTAACTTTTTAGGTTTTTTTATGCCATATTATTTTTTCATACTACTTATGTCAACCCATATCATTGTCGATCGGCATGTCTACTTGGCAATTATATACCAAGTGTTCTACCTCGGAATTTATTAGTTGTGCGGCCTGCGGAAAACATATTTAATACCGTATGATCGAAAAAAAAAACGGCGTCAGCGATGGCTATGAAATGAAGATCGCTGTCTTGTAAATTTATATGGGAGATCTCAGTCATTTCCCAGCCAACTGGACTCCGTTTTTTCTCGATCGTACGGTATTTACAGGTATTTATAACTAAAGAGGCCATGGGAAATTGGTAGATATTATTTTCAAGTTTAGTAGAATGGCCGCTAGAGGGCGCGATTGGCTATGAAGAATCAGGAAATAGAATTTATTTTTTTTGCCTAGATAAGGTCATAAATAAAGGCATCATAATCTTAAGCTTTTTTTTTGTTTGAGCATTTTGCCCTATTTGATAAAGTTAGGTGGTGGGGGAAGGTTAGATCTGTTTTTATTGAAATAGTTCAGGGGTGATCAGCGGCAGAGTAGCTGAGAAAGCGACTTCCCTGAACAGTCTATTCTATCTGACTCACAACAACGGTCAGCCACCTCTGAACGCGCCTAAAGCCTCGTTCTCAGAACGACGTCGTGTCGCGGGCGACACAGTTTGACATTTCAAACAACCAATGGGAGCTATACTAAATTTAAAATTGACAGCTGTTTGAATTTTGTACAAATCTCATCGGTTCTTTTGACGTGTCGCTGGCGACAGTCGCTGTTCTGAGAACGGGGCTTAAAACTCAGTACAGTTTATAGTAGGGATGTTCGGTCCTAAGATTTTAGTACCGGTATCCGGTACCACGAAGTACCGGTCCTAAGGACCGGTATACCGGTTCCTACAATTAGGATCGGTGGGACCGATACTGAACCGCGGTATACCGGCTGGACCGAAAGACCGGATGAACCGGAATATAAATAATAATTAGAAATAGAGTTCTCGTGCCTGTAACGTTTAGTAAATATGGTAACGTAATAAATGTGGTGTTTTGAGGGATAAATTAGATTTCTCGGAATATATCGTAAATGTATCCGTTGCCGTTATAACGTTATTGATCTGACTTATCATTCTCATTGTTTATGTTCACATTTCCGGCATATTCTTGATTTCTTGTCCAACATTCTCTTTACTTATGAAAAATGGAAAAAGCAGTACTGGAAGCTGATGTTCTTGGATATATAAATGGAGCGGAAATAAGATGCTATTTTACATATTTTAAATAGATTTGACGCTATTGTATATCGGCCTGAGTTTTACGGACATTTTAATTTATATAATATAAACGTATTTGTATAAAGGATATATATTATATATTTGTATAAAGGTATTATATAAAAATATTTATATATTTGTATAAAGGAATATACATGAGTGATCTCAGTGATCCCTAGGAGTCGATATAGATACTCGCCAAGGAGGTAGGCCATTGACCATGACATGGCCGAGAACCGTGGTTTGGATTCCGGATAAACAAGGTGCAGAGGCAGCAGACAGAGTCCAGATTAGCCCTAGCAGCAAAAAGGCGACGTTAAGATTTACATATTTGAAGATTTTTTTTCCTATTCAAAGTTTCCTATTAGGTCTGTTCGTTTTCCTGTTATTATCGATTCTGAATCGTCCTAGAACTCTCCAGCGCATGCGCAAATGAAATAATGTCTTCAAATTTCCTTCTGCGCATACGCATCACAATTCTAGGACGGTTCAGAATCGGTAATAACCGGAAAACGAAAAAAGCTATTATAGTTTGGTTTGCTTATTAATATTTTTTTTATGAGCGTTTAAAGGACAATCACAGACTCAAGCCGGAGTCTCATGCATCCGAAATCCGATGACACGACGATCCGACGGTGCTCCTATTGGTCGAAATATTTTGACACCAATTTTTATCCGATATTTTTAACTAATCGTCCGACGTCGTATAAAGTTAAATTTTGTTTAACTTTTGTACGATATCGTGTGTTTTTTAACCTCACTTTTTTTGAAAACATTGGTTTTTAAAATCAAATTTAGTGGGAAGTGGGCAATTTCGGGATATTTGGCGAGTTATAAGTTTGGAAGTTATTTTTCTAAGTGTTTCTCCAATAATACATGGAATAATACATAATAATAATACATAGGAATGACAGGTCTAAATGTTAAAACTGTCAAATTTCGGAACGAACGTTCGGATGTATGTGACAGGCTTTTTTTATTTCATACGATAACTTCAAATTTCGGATGTCGTACCATCGGATTTCGGATGCATGAGACTCCGGCTTCACACCTCACACACACCAAACACCCATGCCCGAGGCCAGATTCGAACCGGCGACCTTGCGTCTACTAGAAAGCGGCGCAATCATTTCGACCACAAGACCGACATATTTGAAGATGTTTGAAGACCTAAAAATAAGTAAGGAAGAAATTCCTAACCTCTATCTTTTTTAGATTTTTGTTCTGTGGAAAGATATGTTTGTGAAGAAATTATATACCCGATTATTAACACATGAAATATCTACATTTCCTATAAACCATAAAGTGTCATTAAAGGAAAATTTAAGTTATATTTATAGACATTTTGTCTATCAAACTCTGTCTCAAAGCACCATGTCATTGAAATTAAATGATGTTATTAAAAAATTAGAAAGTATTGCTCCCTTGAATTTAGCCGAATCTTGGGACAATGTTGGTCTTCTCGTTGAACCTGAAAGAAATTCTAATGTAAATTCGGTTTTATTAACAATAGACCTGACCGAAGATGTAGTCCATGAAGCTGCTGATATTGGTTCTCAGCTAATAATTTCATATCACCCTAACATATTTAGACCACTAAAAAGTATTACACAGAGGTATTTTTTTCTAATTATTTGTGTAACTATTATTATATATGTTTTTTATAGTTCTTGGAAGGAACGTATCATTATAGAATGTATAAAAAATAATATTGCAGTATTTAGTCCTCACACTACATGGGATGCTATGAATAATGGTGTGAACAACTGGCTCGCATCAGTTTTTAATATTAAAAGTATCAAACCTATAATACCTAATTCAGAAAATTCAGAACTTGGCATGGGAAGGCTTGTAGATATAGTAGAGCCAGTAAGTTTAAAAAATATAGTACATGATCTAAAGAGACATATTGGCATACCACATTTAAGACTAGGTTTAGCAAGAGGAAATTCTTTGGGTAATAAAATACTCTATAATTAAATAGTATTATCAATCTACAGATATTTAATACCTTTGTCTTTCAGATACATTAATATCTAAAGTTGCTTTATGTGCTGGCTCTGGGTCATCTGTTTTATCTAATATAAATGCTGATCTGTATCTAACAGGAGAAATGCTTCATCATGATGTGTTAGATGCTACCCAAAAGGGCATTAATGTTATTCTATGTAATCATAGTGACTCAGAAAGAGGCTACCTTAAACATTTTCAAAACATATTAACAAGTGAACAACTTCAGGTTAATATTTCTAAAATAGATAAAGATTGCTTAACTACAATATAACTAAGTTTTAAAATAAATATTGAATTTTGTATTTGTTGCAAATGTGCATGAGAGGAAAAAAGTATAAGTATGTTTCAATAAAACATTTATTTACAATTATATTATTGTTTTCTGCACATCCACCTTATAATCAAAAATAAATGTCATATACATGGTGATGGACGTTGATCTTGTATTTATTTACCCTCTGGGTGTGATTTATATCTATTTATCTGAAACTTGCTATAAGAAATATAATTTTTTCTTATTAAATATTAATTCTATGTCAAAACCACTCATATTTCTTTTGTTTGGATTTTGGTATACTTAATATTTATGAGGCCTAATAGGGTTCTCTACATCAAATAATTTAGGATCATCTAGATAACATGTCTCTTTAAGATACGTAGCCATAAGACCTGCACTTTGTGCTTTTATAATTTCAGCTTCGACAATAGTTTGTTGTTTCTTGCATAAGCCAGTTATGTGACTTCCGTATATTCTTCCAGTGTACGGTGATTGAAACTGCGATAGTAACTTAACGTTCTTATAATCCACTGTTATGTTGTGTTTACATAAAATGCATTTGTGTTGTTCTTTTTCGAAGGGATTTTCCATATCAAAGTCGGGCTCATTTGAAGAAACATTCTGTACTGTTTTCGAGCCGTACGATCTGACTAAAACTTAATAGAAAATATTATTAATAAGTTGGCACAATGTAAGGTAGGTATATGTTACTTTGTTCTGCAGCAACAAAAAGCCGTCTAATAGGTAAAAAATTCATAATTTTTAAAATATTTCTACTTGCTGGACTGAAAGATAATTATAAGGTTACCTTTAGTTCTTCTTCTTTTCTTAATTACTTTTAAAACCTAAGCTGCTAGGACTATCCAGTTTGTTAATAAAGTTACCTACACACTCACAGACAGGATCGGTCAAGCAGAGTCAAGGGTCTGAGTTTGGTCTGAGTATAATTCATATCCTGTTTGCTGACAACTCGTTGATGATGCTAATGCTTTCTTTAGCCATAAAATAATAAACTTAACAGCAAAAAAAAAATGTTACACCAATTTGATCTTGTTAACGAGTTATCACCAAACAAGATATGAATTATACTCAGACCCGCATAGACTAATCCAGCGAATTAACGCTCATACGAGGATGATAACTTTAATGATGGGCCGGATAGTCCTAGTAGCTTAGGCCCAGAGAAATAGAAGGGATAGAGAATGAGCGTCAACATGCGCAGAAGGTCTAATCAAGTTGGGCGCCATATTCCAGGTCTTCGTGTCATTTTGTATATAGGTGGTAATCTATAAGTAAACAAATATCAATTTGCTGTTTTCAACCATACGGGGGAATTTAAATTTAGTGAAATTCTATCATTCATTATGGTTAGTTAACATTAATATGATTTATTTAATTATCAGTTTCAAAACTGCGTACAATATTGGTATATAATACACTAAATATACGAATATTCTGACAAAAGACGCTACGGACAGATGACCTTTTCGTCGTAAAACACTCGAAATGATATTAAATAAGTATTTACAATATTTCATGTTTACTTGTACTGAATTACGCGTTTCAATTTAAAATTTTTGCAAATTTGGTAAAAATTGTTCTAAACAACTTTTTGTTCAAGTTGTATATTCATAAAAAACATTTGGTTCATAATTATTTTTGATGATTATCTACCTTGTATTTTTAATATAAACCTAGAAAAAATATGTTTTTGTTTTATTTTTTTTATTCGTCCCTTCAAATTATGTTTCAAAAACTGTTACATAACATGTCCTCTAACAAATATTTTCATAATACATAAACATCATTGATTTTATTAAGGGTATTATTATTAGTATTTATCCTGGTTTTTGTCGACAATAAAAACTCAATCTTGTAATAGAACATCAATTTTATATTTCGTAAAATTATTTTGATACAAATTCGATTTGTCAAAATTCAAGTCATTAATATATTGATAAACAACCCAAATTATTCCTAAATATTTTATTATAAACAAAAACTGTTACCGGTAAGTTTGTAAAACACATTATGGTTTGTCGTAATACTAGAAAAAATCATTTATTTTTTGCACAAAAGAAGCTTGTCGATCCTTATTTGTCCATAACAAAATTCTGTATGTACATATACCTAATTTATTATTAAGAAAATTAGATTATATGATCTCAGAATTTTAAGAAATTTTTTTTTAAGATAAAATAGTTTCTTCTCAACTGTAATATTGTCAACTTTGGCCTGTATTTTATCTATTTAAAAACATGGGATTGACAATCCCCTTACTAAAATACATACTGGAAGGTACCGATTAAGTTTCATTGCATCAAATACCTTTACTATAAATCCTGGCTCACAACTCACAATTTAAGGCCATTGCAAAATGCTTTTGAACTTCATCATAGATTTTACAAGAATAAAAGTGTAATATTGAAACAAAGTAACATTGTAAGCTTCATGACTAATAGTCTCATTTTTAACACTCTTTAAATATCATCTCGTTAACAATTATGAATATTATATGATTTTTCTCAGTGATTTGTGGCAGAGATACAAATTAATATATGCCCCATAACAGTTTTTAAATAAGAAACTTCTGCCTACAGATTTAATTTTCTTATTGGCATAATACCCTTTCTTTCTATATAAATCTTGCCATTTTTCCAGTCCAATGTTCCTTGTTTTTACAGTTGTAGGAATACTAAAAATGTTGACTATAGAACTCGATACTATGTTTGAAAAAGCCTTCATACCTGTAACTGTGCATAAATCTAATTAACTGAATTCTCCTCCTCTTGACACTCTGAACACAGCCGCTGCTAATGTTAGAAATATTTAGCACAAAACTACAACTACCTACAACAAACTTTACAATAAAAATGTTAAATTTTCGCTGTTCGATTAAAATACCCTATCTTATGTTTTCTTTTCCTCCAAATAATCTTCTTGTCAAGTAAGGACCAATCTTATTTGATATATTTCTGGTCACTTGAACTTGTGCTTTCATGGACACTATAAGAGTGCACTGTTTTACAGAACCACGAACATTGATTCCAAGTATCTTCTTCCTCCACACGTAATAAAAACATCCTCTTTAAATGGCCACATCATACACTTATTTTTGACCATTCCCAATTACAATCACGATTTTTACAAATCGCCTTTAGGAAAGTTAAAAATAAACAGTTTTGAATCATCTGTAAACACGATTATGTTGTATAAACTTACACATGAAAACTAATCATTATTCCCGGCGTATTAGCTTTCTAGAATGACTATGAATATACAACAGGCCTTTTTGAATTAGTGTTTAGAATAATTGAGATAATAATAAATTTTAACTAGATAACAACACAAACGCATAAAATAATAAACTTAACAGCAAAAAAAAAATGTTACACCAATTTGATCTTGTTAACGAGTTATCACCAAACAAGATATGAATTATACTCAGACCCGCATAGACTAATCCAGCGAATTAACGCTCATACGAGGATGATAACTTTAATGATGGGCCGGATAGTCCTAGTAGCTTAGGCCTGAATATTAATAAAAAAAGAGAAGAAGATCTGATTTTATAACCGTAACCCCAAAAAATCCCTTTCTTTGCTTTTAATATTTATAAAAAAATTCATAATCATTACTATGTTAAGAAGTGTTTCATCTAAGTTAAACACTTTTACATTGAAACGATATTCAACTGGTAAAACATTAGTAAGCAATGAAATACAGGCTATTGTAGAACCTCGAAAATTAGATTTTCCTTCAAAATATCAAACACCCAGGCAGGTATGGCTGGAGAGTTTAGACACTATCGACGAAAGAAAGTTAGGATTATTAGAACTACATCCCGAAATATTTGCCACCAATCCTAGAATCGATATTATTCATCAAAATATAACTTGGCAAAAGCTTTATAGGTACGTCAGCTATGCTCACACAAAATCGAGATTCGAAGTGCGAGGTGGCGGCAAGAAGCCCTGGCAACAAAAAGGCCTGGGACGAGCTCGGCACGGATCCATTAGATCGCCGCTATTTAAAGGAGGCGGCGTTATTCACGGTCCCAAATCTCCTACGCCACATTTTTACATGCTCCCTTTTTATTCAAGAGTAAAGGGATTAACGTCGGCATTATCTGTTAAATTAGCTCAGGACGATTTACATGTAGTTGACAGCTTAGAGATACCGACAGAAGAAAGCAGTTATTTGGAAGAATTAGTGAAAAGCCGGCTGTGGGGTCCATCTGTATTATTTGTTGATAGGTAAATTTTGCTTGATTATCAAACTTTTTGATCATATTGTAAGCTTATATGGAAATTTTATAAACCTAAATTAATATTTTTCTTATTATTTAGCACTGACGTAATGCCAAGAAACATTACAGCAGCAACAGACTTGGTTAGACATTTCAATCTCATGCCAGTGTATGGTCTAAATGTTTATTCAATGTTGAAGCATGATACGCTAGTACTTACCCGATCGGCTGTTGACATCATCGAAGAAAAAATATTATACCACTTAAACCGGAATGATACGAGGAATGTTTTAGCCAAGTATAAAGTAGATCAAGTGTAAATATAGGTAAAATAAAAATATTTGTTATCCTCTATCTTTTTATTAACTAAATTTCGTACAACCAAATTTTACAAATTAAGCAATTAAAGTTGCCTGATACTGGTAATTGTTAAAACTAATACCTAAGTCGTTTTGATCTCTTGATATCAAATAAAATTGCATGACTGTTCCATTCGGAACTGTATCCATTTTTAAGTGATTGCAATTCGTTTTTCAAGGGAAATTTAACATAGGTTTTTGAAGAGTGGAGTAACTTTTATTATATTCGGTAGAGTTTAGTGCAAATGTAACATACATCCATTTTAATAAGTATTTGATTTTCTTTGTTCTACTATAATATATTGTTAGTTACATCTGTACTTCTCTGCAATAGTTTGGATGGAGACTTCTTATTATTTACAATTTTCTATAAAAGTCTTAATACTTCTATTTGTTAAGTTTTAACAGCAGGATTACAGGATGTCGTTGTAATCATCCTAAGTTGTTCAGAATTTATTTTACGTATACCGATCGGTCATCGAAAATCGAAACTGCGTGGTCGGGATTTTTACGTGTCAGACAGTGATGTAGGCAGGTTAAATGAAAAATCAAATGTATTAAAAAGAGATAAAATTTAGGTTGATAAATTTCTTCTATGCGGTATTGCCAAATTTTGCCTCAAAATTTCAAACCACACAAGTAGGTGTCAACGAAAAATGTTGCAGTTAGGGTTGGAATTTTATTTTTCATAATTAGTCACTCAGTTTACTTCAGCTGTAATAGATTCTTAAACAACTGTCTAACAGAAATGAGCATTATTGAATAGCTTAGATATATTATCTTCGTTTATTATTTTATTTCTCGTACGAACCGGCAACACTGAATGCCGCTTTTTGAGCCCCGTTCTCAGAACTTCGACTGTCGTGTCGTCAACGACACGTCAAAAGAACCCATGAGATTTGTACAAAATTCAGACAGTTGTTAATTTTAAATTTAGTACTATAATGAACCAATGAGAGTTGGTAAATTTAGTAACTCTCATTGCTCATTGGTTCTACGAAGTGTCAATCAGTGTCTGGCTACAATACAAAATTCTGACTGAGGACGGGGCTTTATTTTGTCTCTGTCTGTCAACTGGTGGTATTTATTTATCTCTATCCAAATACGTTTAAAGAAAATATACGGAGGGTACCGCTTAAATTCCTGTCCAGATATTCAAGGATGGCTATAGAATTTCAATGCATTTCCTACATAAGGCTATCCTTATGTTGTAGGAGGTTTGACTAAACAAGGATGAACTTATGTCCTGAACCATTCAGACTCGATTTTCTGTCCTTTAATACTGGGACGTAAATCCTCTCATTGCTCTTATGGGGAGGCCGTCGTATATTTTAATTTAAACCTATTTGATCTCTGTCATATACATAAATTACAGACCTCGGAAATAAAGTGACCGCTAGTCCACCTAGCGATCACTTTATTTCCACTAGTGACCTAGACCATGTTAGCGCTCGTTCCAATTTTATTTTTTTCGTACCAATTTTAATAAAAAAAATCTTTAATATTTTTCAGAAGATTAAATTGTTTTATGTAGTTTAATAGTTAAAATTACACAATACAAAGTAAATCTCACAAGAGTCAATATTTTTTTACTGGGCCACAGATAATCGTAATACATTTATCAAAATTGTCAATTACCAAAAAAATATACCAAATTTGTGGCAATGGATTATAAAAAAGAATAATTTAAAATAGAGTTAGAGTTGGAACATTTGGACGCGCGTTTCGCGAACCATGTTGGCAGCATCAGTAGATGATCAAAACTAAAAGTTAACAGTTTTAATCATCTGCTGATATAGTGCTAACATGGTTAGCGAAACCCGTGTCTAGTGCAAAAGTAAAGTGTTTTGGTATATTTTAGTGAATTAGTGTTTTATTTTGCTATTTTCAGCGTGTTAGTGTGGGTCAGGCGTTGTTGATTTTATGCAATTTAATTAGTTTATTTCACAAATGACAAATCATACTTCAACATGATCAGTGTGACCTAACGACGGATGACACATAACGGATGTATCTAGACCCATACTTAGCTTAAGATTTTTGTTTTTCAAACACGATATACTGAGCTCTACGATCACTACGATGAAAGCTTTTTGGATATAAACATAATTTGCCGCCACGTTTTCTTTTTTGCATTGTTTATACGTATCATTTAAACTTTTATGAATAATTGTGATTCTTATAAAATATACAGGGTGTCTCCTTTCGAGATACAGGGTACCATTAGAATACCAATTATAATATTAATTATCAATTAGAATTTAATTTTTTTCGCAAGAAGTAAGCAAGATAGACAAAAAAGTCAAGAGACAAAAAATAATATTTTTAATTACTAAATCCAAAAATAATATTAAATTTCTAAAAAAGCAGTGGCGTGCCTATTTTTTCCTTTAAATTATTTAACAGTGATGCCCCACCGCCGCCCCTGGCCATTAAACTTAAATCTAATTACATCAAATTAAGTCCCATAGTAAGTATTATAAACGGGTCAGGTTATATCAAAATCGATTAAACAGTTTTTCAAATATCTTAATTTTTTTTCTTTTTTAAGTAACTTTAACACCCTGTATCTCGAAAAGGAAGCTTTAAATCTTACAAGTTGATATGAACTTTTTGTTTTATTTTTGCAAGTTCTGTCGTCTATTAAATTTTCCCGATTAAAATCTGAGACACCCTGTAAATGATTCTTATAAAATAACTTGAGATATACAGAGGGTGGCGCACCTCATTCACCTCGGTTGATTTTACGAAAACGGAAAGATGTAGAAACAAAATATTTTATGGGTATATGTAGGGAGGTAATGTGCACAATTTAAAATTATTTTGAAATGTACGTTGTGTTTCAGAACTAAGATCCATACCAAAGTTATATTTTTTCTTATGAAACACACACCCTGTATTTTATTTCATACTTGGATTCTTGGGCCCAGAAAAGGTATTTATATAAGGGTTAAATATGTTTAAAATCTTTGGTTTTTGAGATATTCAAAAGATATTTAAATTTGCATGCTACAATAGAATAGATTATTAACATCCTGTACATTACTTTTTAGAATTAATTCTTGTGCTGACTTTTATGCCAGAGAACTTTAGAGAAAAATGTTATTCCTTCCTTAAATGTATAGAGGGGTATCAAAAATTGCTGGTCTATTTTAAATATTTTTTACATAAAAACTTCGTTATTTCAAATGCAACACTATGTATTTTTTTAAATAAGTCGAAGTAGATTTAAATGCTCTTTCAAACTATATTAGGGTTTCCTATACCTATCTGTTGCGTAGCTATATTCTGTGCTATCTGGCTCAGATTTTGTTTAAAGAGCGATTTTTTAGTAAAATTTTAATCAAGCAGATGGCTAGTGTCGTCATGGCAAGTTTCTAGTGACAGTTAGTAGCTATTTTCAAAATCGAAATTACTTTATAGACTTAGTTAAATTTATACCAGTTTACTTTTATTTAACTTACCTACAATAGTTTAATAAATAATATTTATTAAATATGTGTTTATTATTCTATCAAGAAAAACGAAGAAGTAGTTCTTTGAATTATTTTACGATGACTTGTATGTATGGATTTTCTATAAAAGCCAATTACGGCAAATTCATTTTCTTCACTTTCAACGACAGGTTTCTCTTCTTTCTAAAACATTTTTCATAAACCACACTACCAGCTCGGCGAAATAGGACAAGAAGTTTTTCAAAGAAACGCTTATCAGGAAGATTCCTATTTGGATATCTTTGAGCATAAGCCCTTGGGGCCAAGAAGCAATTTTCCTCACAAAATAATATCACTAGCAACATATCTATTCGTTCCGCCAGCAGATACTGCTTTATTTTTCTTGATAAAATAATGGATACTTACTTATTAAACTATTGTAGGTAAATTTAAGTAAACTGTTATAAATTATAAATAATAATGTCCATAAAATAATTTCGACTTTGAAAATAGTTACTAACTGTCACTAGAAAATTGCCATGGCGACACCAGCCATCTTGATTACAATTTTATTTAAAAATCGCTTTTTATTCAAAATCTGAGCTAGATAGGTATAGGATACCCTAATACAGTTTAAAAGAGCATTTGAATCTACTTCGATTTATTTAAAAAAATACAGGGTGTTGTGTTTGAAATAACGAAGTTTTTATATAAAATATACCTATCCCTAAAATAGATCAGCAACTTTTGATAGCCCTGTATAAATTTAACGAACCAATACCATTTTCCAGTAAAGTTTATTTCTCTACCTTTAAAGTCAGCATAAGTATTAATTCTGAAAAGTAATGTGCAGGGTGTTAATAGTCTATTCTATTATAGCATCCAAATTTAAATATCTTTAAATATCTCAAAAACTAAGGATTTTAAAAATATTTAACACTTATAATAAATGCCTTTTTTTGGGCCCAAGAATCCAAAAATGAAATAAAATACCGGGTGTTCGATAAGAAAAAATATAACTTTGGTATGGATCTTAGTTCTGAAACACCCTGTACATTTCAAAATAATTTTAAATTGTGCACATTACCTCCCTACATATACCCATAAAATATTTTGTTTCTACATCTTTCCGTTTTCGTATAATCAACCGAGGCGAATGAGGTGCGCCACCCTGTATATTTCTTTTGTATTTTAAGTCTGTTGTAATAATTTTTTTTGGGGGGTCTCTGTTAATCACTTGTTATGCTTGTTAATTATCATTGAACAAAAAGTGCTCAGTGAAGAAACTATGCACTTTTTGCTCAATGGGAGTGAAGGTAAAATAAACCAATAAACAAAATATTTAAATTCATGTATTTTACATTTTATTCAGAAAAACTAAAAATAGTTTTGAGGTATATAAGAAATATGTGAACTAAGGATCTAGATAATAAATATATTTCCTAAAGTATACGGTACCTTATATTATAGAACACAATTTGCCTTATAGTCTTTTCTGTACATAGATCTTTCAACACGCGTTCCTAATATTACTAATATATACAAGTTTTCAGTAATTGTCTACTTGCTTTATTGTTGAAATTATGTTTTACTTGAGGATGTTAATTAACAACAGTAATATTAGACCAAAACCAAAACGCATTACACATACACTATTATGTAGCTCGTGAGTAAATTCACGAAAATAAGTTCATCTCGTCTACAAATAAAGGAAGCTTTGAGTATTTACAATTTATTTTTAAACTTCCATTATAAGTAGTGAAATTAATAATAAAAAAATAAGTTAGTTTACAATTTACATCTTATAAAATTATTTTTTAAGGATCTCTATTTTTTAAGGATCTTCATAAACAAGTCTAATTGTTCTTAATTATAATGCCAATAATTGCTTTATTAAGAGTACATGGGTTATTATCTATGTTCAAAAATAAAATCTGGTAAATCATACCATAACATTTTTAAAAGATTATTTATTTACAGAAATGTTTTGTTATTGCATTATTAAGGCTGACACAACTCAACTAAAGTCAATTTTATTGTCATTAACAAGAATATTGTTCAGTCAGCAATTATGTCATAATTAATAAGACTAAAAGAAAACCCATGTTGCTCTTATATCTACTTAAACATAAAGAGGGTAAAGCCAAGTTCATATCATTACAATTTTCAGTTTCGACCTGAAATTTGCTGCAGGGATTGTTATAGATATTATATGCAAACTCTTGGGATATACTTCTGGGAATTCACATTTATTTAGCTGAAAGTTCATTAATTAAATTAATGTCTTTTGTCATCCCTTGTATGGTTAGGTTAGGTTGCTGGGGTTTGGAATCATGTTTGATCCCTCACTCGGAGGATTTAGGCCTATTGCGATACCCCTGTTGTTGTACCAAACCTTCCTCTCATTCTTTCTTTTGATGTTGGCTTCTGCTGCTTTCTATAGTTCCTCCAAAAAACCTTGCCCTAAAGTTTTAAAGTGTCGGTATTCCAGTGTCCCTTGTTCACAAAAAAATTAAGTTGTCTAGGAATGCAAATGATACATAAATATTCCAGAAACATCAATGATAAATCTTTTGTACTTTTAGAGATATTTTTAACACTGTTTTTATTTGATGTATCATATACATTGATGTTTCTTTTTATGATGTTTGCATCCCTTGTCACAGTTTTTTATTATGAATTTTAACCAATGGTGACGCTTCAAATTATAATTCCCAATGATATGAACTCAACTTAAATCACAGTTAACTATCTGGATCTTTTTCCCGACAATCTTCTGCTGCTTGTGACATGGCGACTTCTTTGCAATTGTAGGCACTCTTAGGCACTCACAAGATTTGGAAGGAACCTATGAGATGGACTGTCATAGGGCATCTGAAATCAATAAAAAAATATATATATATTTATATGTAGGATATACAAAATTTAAATTGTAATCATTATGCCGGGTCCAGACCAAGACGACAAAAAGTAAACACGATTTTGAGACAAAAACAAGACAAACTTGAGACAAATTGTCCACACCGCAAGGACAAAAGAAGTACAACAAAGTCAAAAGTTTAGTTGTTGCGAATGAGTTTTATTAAGCATGTGTGATTTCAGTTGTCTCCTGCTGTTGGCAGCACACGCCATCCACACTGCGCCGACAACTTGTCGTAGAATATACGAACAAAACATAGACACTTTGATTTTTACCGAGTCGAGACGAGACATTGAAAAGTCTTGAATCTTGAAACAAGACAAAAATGTCGCAGAATTCCTAGAACAAAATTTCCACATAAAGATGGAATGTTATTTTTAAAAAGAGATTATATTAAAAAATTAAAACCATTTAGGAATACTTATTTTAAAATTATTAACATTTAAACTTACTACACAGCAGTGACAAAATTTACGAAAACTTTTTTTGGTATTTATTTTCATCCGTTAGGAAAACGCCTGATTTACTATAATGTTAGAAAATATTTACCTCTTCCTCGTCTTCGCTACTGTCACTGTCATCGCTTGAATACGGCGAGTCTAGACCTTTCATAGCTAAGAACTGCCTCACATCCGATGGGAGCACAAAACTCAGTTGGAGGGCATTTAGTCGCCCGTACGTTGTAATATCCGGCCGAATAGTTTTGCACTCGTGCAATAAATATCTCAGGATATTATCGTCGCCGTTTTGGGCTGCTATGTGAAGGACAGTGTAACCTCCGAGGCCCTCCCTTGCATTAATGTCAGCGCCACAATTTACTAGATGTTTCAGTATATCTAGGTGTTTATGCATGGCAGCTACATGAACACATGTTTGACCTGAAACAAAGAAAACAAATTTGAATACATACATAAAACATTTTGCTAGAATTAAAATACTATCCGTCATTACATTAATGAGTCTATAATTTAACAAATGTATGTAGCTACTGAGTATATCTTCGTAGGCACAGCTAAGTGTTAATCAAGGGGTGTGTCTCACTTGGGTAAAATATGTACATGTACTGACAAAATAAGATTTTACTGCCAATGACTGCGAAGAAGACTACATATCTCTGCCATAATTATAGTCAACTGGTGCCAGCGGCTGACAAGATAATGTACTTGTAATTCCAACAGTGAGATACCCCTCGGTGATAATAAAGGCTTAGGGTATAATCTTATGTTCATATATTCATTTAAATGAAAGTTGACCCATTGCAGAGCTTTTGTAAATAGAAACAAAAACTTATAAATACATATAATTAACTTCCCTTTTTAATGTACCTTCGCTATGTTTAATCTTTTTTTGCTATCGATAAACATGATGATCTATTACTATTTGAATGAATCAAAAGTATTAACTGAGTTTATGCAGAAAATCGACAATGTTATACACCTATATTTAAAATAATTATGTATTCTATTAATACTTAGTTTATACAGTTATTTTCCAAAAACGTCACCAAATTTCCCCACCTACGTATAAATTACTTAAGCTCTTTTTATTATTAATATTACTTATCATTGTTATCCTTATCATTTGCGAGCTAAATAACATTTTTGTACTTTTAGAAAATAGTTTGTATTTCGATATAGTTTGGGTCTATTTTAGAATTTCTGGTATGAAGGAGACAGGACTTAGCTTGTTCCAAAATGGGCTAGCTTTGGAAACGAGAATTCAGAGCTGATTAATACGATGACAAATTATTAGGAGCAATAAAAAGTTCTCCCACAACAAAGGGGAATCAAAATATAGGACACGACGTGTGCCGTGTGTGCAATAACACTGAATAAAAATAATTTTTCAAAGTAGAGACTATATTCAAAGTCTCGTGATAACGTAGGCGTTTGCACTCATCTCTCTGTTTCTATTTTGATATACGCAAATACCAGATTGGGTTTGTACGTAAAATGGGGAATTCGACACAACCGTTTACTATAATCTTACGTCCTTCCATTTTCCGTCATTTTTATAAATTGACTTAATCAACTATGTAAACAAAAAACTGAAAGTCTTTCAGCCGAATACAAATTTAGTTCTGACATACCTAAATATAATTAATTTCATATAATTACTTAAACTCAATTACATTAGCCGAAGTAGATAATATGATGAAAAAAAGTATCTAATTTTTTAACGTTTGATAATTTAGACAAAAATTTATTTTCATTAGGACGCTTTAAAGATTATTATTAATAAAATTTCAAAAAACGCTTCTCTCTTCACAATTCTTTTTAAAGTACCAAATATGATAAAATATGATAGCTAGTTAAAGTGAAAATTAATTCACAAACAAAAATGTGTGAAATTTCGGATGTACGCGGTGACGAATAAAGTTACAAATAAAAGGCACGTAAATCTGTTAATTACAATTTAGTTACTAAAATAATATTATTTTAGTGAAAAATAGATGCTATGATATAATAGTTCAATGTATATTTTAAACCGTGGTTGACCTGAATTAGGTTTTTAGCGTAATTTATTGGAAAATATACGCAAAGCGACAACATCGTCACAGACAAGCGTATGTCAGCTAGAACATCTTGTGATGTTGGGGATTTCCGAAATTCCACAACCATCGCGCAATATTTTGCGGCTTTGGGTCACCATTTTAGGAAGAATCGACAAAAATAATGCGATCGAGACGACGATTGGTAATGAAAATTTCCGAAAATAAATAGGTCCCGTACTCTCCAGTACCTAGATACAATACAAATTAACCGCACAACCGCTACGTCAGAAAATTTATGAATGATTGGTTGAATATAATAAAAAAATAATTGCATCTTACTACAGAATTCCTCATTACAGTGGACATAAATACACCAAAATGGCCAAAACTCTTTGTTTTAAAAAATCATATATTATTGTATTGTTGATATTTGTCATGTTTACGTATTTTATTCATTCTTTACACTATAACTGGACTAATTATTGGGAATGCACGTTTTGGATTATCCAAAGTACTAATCTGGTAATTTGGTATTCTGAGAAGGAAATGACAAACAATAAATGTTTTTCTGAGATTGTTTCTCGGTTGTCAAAAACAAATCCATGACTAACTGTTTTCTAACAGATTCTTTTGTGGTTTTACAAGTGATAGTAAGCATTTGGTTTATATATAGTAATCAAATACAATATGATCGAAAAAAAAACGGCGTCAGCGATGGCTATGAACTGAAGATTGCTGTCATTTTATATATAAAATTTTTTGATGAGGAATCGCAATGAGTACTTTTTAAAACTTTCGCAAGTTAATGATGTTAAAATTTTTTAAAAGTTGCCGAAATCGACAGGATATCAAAAGACAACTTTTAGTCGGCATTAAACTGATTAACTATTTTGTTAACAAAAGAAAAAAAGTCAGTGGCGTACATGCTTTTTTCTAGAAAAATATTCCAGTGATAACCCATATGCACGTCCCTGGTGAATATGTCGACACTTTTTTAGCTTTAAAATATGTGGCATTCATAGTTAGTTTTACCAGCAAAATTTTATTCGAAACGCTAAAAGTACTTGGAAGAAAATTATAATAAATCCAAAAAAATATTAAGACTTTAACACCCTGTAGCTACGAAACAAAGCAGAATCGAACCTATGTTGGTATGAAAAATATATCTTATTTTTACGTGAGGAATCTCCCCACGAGAGATGGCACATGCTTTTGAAACACCGGTAATGTGTAAGTATATTAGTAAAAATAAAATTACTTCAATTATTCCCTTTAAAAAAATATTTGTTTAAAAATATCTATACAGAGTGTCAAAAATAGTGTATCTAAAGCCGGGTCCAGACTATGTAACAAAACATGTTAAATAACAAAGTTTTATAACTTGTTAGAGAAATTCAAGTACAAAAGTTATAAAACACAATGTTATACAACAGTTTTCTTGTTATATAGCAAAAATTATGTTATCCATTAGGTGTCGGTAAAGATCAAAAAAAGTTATAAAACTTTGTTTTATAACACACCGCGACTTGTCCACACTTGTGTTATTGAACATTTACTGCAGGACGAGCGGCGTTTGAATTTAGTATTGTAACGTTTTAATAAAACGATACCATTGGCAGCCCAACATACAGCCTACCAAATTAGTTCTGACTAATTTCAGACACTCTGTTGATCTACTTGCCCTTGTCGGCGCAGAACTAGAGCATGTTTTTGACTATCGGAAGTCACCATTTTTGATTCAGATTTCGAGGCTTAGACATCGACCAACTTATCTGAAGTCATCCGAAAAAGTTTCAATTTTTTAATTAGATATACTAACCTTTGGAATGTAGTCCTAATGGTTCCTGGCATTTGGGGAAGGAATAAATTTTTAGTTTTCACGGGTATTTTTGTGGTAAGTTTGATCTTCATCACATTTTTATTCTTTTGGTTCAACCTTATCTCTTTACAGATTTTCTAAACGTGGATTTGGTTGTCCTGTCATGAATTTAATTTTTGAGTAAACCCTCAGCATCGTGAGGTAAGTTCTAAAATCACTAAAATGCATTTTGTGCATAAGTTGTGTCATTTCCAGGGTTTTACCGTCCAGTTACATGGCGAGTTATATGTCGTGATTGGTGGTTTGAGGTATGAGTATTGTAAGGGGCTATTCTAGGCTGTGGTAGATTGGGGATGAGCTCCCACACCTAACGTTCACACACCATCCAGAAGGACGAGTTGCACCTGATAATCAGGCCAGATTTCATACATGATATTTTTATTAACTCATTTCAAATCTATTTACTTATTATTGACGAATTACGTAATTAATTATGTAATTATTAGATATCATTTTTGAATTTCATTATTAAAATATAATTTTCTTAATTTTAAATATACAAATTTTTATATATTTTAATATCTTGTCAAGTATTTTGTGATGGTGTCACTTGACATATTTATTTAATTAACTTTTCATTGATTAACGGAATGATGTGCGCATACAACAAGGTTCATGAACTGCGTTAGTTTGAGGTACTTATTTAATTTTATTTTGCGTAATTTAATATTAATATGTCAATGATTTTTAATCAACAAAACCAGTGATACTATTTTTTTATCATACATTTAAATTTTGATTACTTATTATTCTTAAGTATTAATTCATTTTAAAAATCTAACTTCATCCATCAATTACTGTCCTTGTCTAATATTTTTTTAATTATAAATAAATTTAAGTTGGGGTAAAGAGATCTATTATTTCTGAGTGAATGTCCTGGCGCCCAATAATTATTGTTTTATTGATTAATTATAACACCTAATAAAAAAATAAAAAACGAACCTACGACTGCTCGCAAAGACGAAAAGCTGCCGTTTGCATTGTATCAAGAAAACGTTACAGTATTGCCAGAACTCTTGCGTTGCACACAGGGATTTTTGTTAATTTTTTTACGCAATGAAATGGTCAAAAGAACTTACCACTCATTTAATTGAGTTATTTCGTGAGCATCGAGTATTATGTGATCCTACCTTCATGGATTTTAAAAAGAGAAATAAAAAACACGACGCATGGACTGAACTAGGTGCAGAATTGAAAATAAATGCGTTTGAGGTCATTTTAAATACTACAGCTGCTACTGCTGCGAGCAATTAAATGTACACTCATTTTGTTTAGTTTTGTTTTGTTACATAGTTTGGATGTCTCTGCTATTTTATAACAAGTTATAAAACAAAGTTGTACAACAAATTTGTTGTATAACTTGATGTTTAACATGTTTTGTTACATAGTCTGGACCCGGCTTAAGAGATGGAAAAACTTGTGCTAATACCTATATCAAATAATGTTAGAAGGCTTACCATATGATCGAAAAAAGATGGCGTATAGTAGGCTTGAAAATGACGATC